GACAGACAGTCGGACGGACCGACACAGTCGGACGGGTAGACAGTCGGACGGTCGGACGGACAGACGGTCGGACGGACAGATAGTCGGTCGAACAGACATACAATCGGACAGACTTACAGTCGGACGGACAGATGGTCGGTCGAACAGACATACAATCGGACAGACTTACAGTCGGACGGACAGACAGTCGGACGGACAGACAGTCGGTCGGACGGACAGTCGGTCGGACGGACAGACAGTCGGTCGGACGGACAGACAGACGGTCGGACGGACAGACAGACGGTCGGACGGACAGACGGTCGGACGGACAGTTGGTCGGTCGAACACACAGTCGGACAGACAGACAATCGGACAGACAGACAATCGCACAGTCTGACAGACAATCGGACAGTCTGACAGACAATCGGACAGTCTGACAGACAATCGGACAGTCTGACAGACAATCGGACAGTCAGACAGAGACGGAAAGAAAGATTCGGAAAGAAAGAGTCGGAAAGAAAGAGTCGGAATGACAGAAAATGAGACGGCCGGCCAGACACACGGATGGACGGACAGAGACGGATGTACAGACGGATATATGGACGAAAAGACGGAGAGACGGGCGACCAGACGGACGGCCAGACGGAGGGGCAAGACGGATGGGCAGGTGGAAGGACGGGCAGACGGTCGGACGGGCCCATGGACGGACGGATGGACGTGCAATCTTTTGCCGTGAATCGATTTTTCAGTATCAAGGACTCACAAACGTGGATACTGGATACACCACCTGTTAAAGGATTTTGTTTCTAAATTTAGCAACAGGATTTATCCACTTTTTCATTACGAGGGCCCCGTAATGATTTTTTCTACCGCAAATTCGCCGTTTTTAGCTCAGCATTATATAACTTTCTCTATACTACGTAAGCGGTAACGAGAATATAATAATAATAATAATAATAATAATAATAATAATAATAATAATAATAATAATAATAATAAAATTATTAACACTTATTATACATGGAAGTTTCTAATTGAAGACGTAAGTATAAGAGAAATGTAAGTATACACAACACTGTGTTTGAGAAACGATACCAAAACCTAAATTTTAAAACTCATCCTGTATTAATATTAAAAATTTAAATTTTAGGCCCTCTTTTGTTCAATTACCAACTAGTGGTGTTAAGACAGTACGTACTTTATCTCGCATACTTTCACACAATTACGCGAAAAGTTACAAAATTTTCGAAAAACTGTACATGAGCTTATTGCAAAATCTATTTTAAGGTAAAATTTTTATCTTTAATATTTTAGTTGGAGAAACGTTGCGAAATTTTTGAACTTTTCCAATTTTCGAAAAATAAAGGTTTCTAAACATAAAGCCTGGTCATTCTCTTAAACGTCTTTCACACTATCCAACACAATTTAATAAAATACTACGGAGAAATTGTTTTTTTAAATTTGAGAAATGTACCAGGGACTTCATGAAAAGAACCCCGAAAAATTAAAATATCGGTTTCAAATTCAAGGGGACGCGGCATCAGCCAGATCGATTGGGGAATATCACGTTTGGAGAAAATCGACTGAACGGTTGGGTTGTTCATCGCTACTCCCTAGCGAGAAAGTAAAAAGGAGGGGCCCCAATCTGTCAATAGTCTAGAGGCCTCGGAAATGGGATTTTTTTTAACGCAAAGAATATGCAGCAGATCTACGTGAAAAGTCTTTAAAATTCCTAATACTTTGCCCACTTGATTTACCAATTACCCCTTTCCCCGGAAAAAAATTACAAAAATTCTTGAGCAAGGAACTTACATTGAATGGTGCAGCCAAGGTGGGGTGGGGGTGGGGGAGGTATGATGCAGCCCCCTCAAGTTAGTCAATGATACATTCTCAAAAATTTAGATTTTCTTTTCTAACAAAAGTTACTCATATCAATTGTTAATGTTATAAAAATTAACTGTAAGTCAACAAATAAAAATTATTATATATTTTTATATTTAATATAAATGAAAATATTTTAATTTCTAAGCATCAAGTCAGCTGGACAATATTCGCATTACTAGAAGTGCTCGTTAAATTAGAACACTCCAGGGTAAAACTTCAGTATATTCATGTTGTATTATCATTAATTTAGTCACTAAAATTATCACCACTATTTTCACAGATATTGTCCCTGGCATTGTCACATACATTGAGTCTGGCATGGTCACAGACATTGCATCTGACATTGTAACAGACATTGCCTTTGACATTGCCTCTGATGTCACAGATATTGCTTTTGATACTGTCGCAACATCTCTTATACTGTTAACCATTTTATTTTATTTTATTTACAAAATATTTTAAATATTACATTTACTTCTTTAAGTATTCAGCATTATTTATAATAAGAAATACAAAAACAATTCTGAATTATAAATAATGTGGATTACCTAAACTTATATACTAAAAATTATAATCCAGAATATTCAGAGCTCAAAAAAGCAGTGCAGATTGTACTTCTCCCCCAAATGTCATGTACATAGTTTTTCAAATATTTTTTTTTATGTTAAATAAAAAAATAAGTCAATGGTCTTAGATCATTTTTAAATACTTCATAATATACAAAGCAGATTCTATATTACAATACTCTTTTCAAATTCTGAGGAATGAAAGTATTGGACATTAATTTACTTGAAAATCTTCACAGAAATTAATTTGTTGCTTTCATATTGTAAAATGTAGATATTTTGGACAATTAGTGCATCGAATGTCACTTTAACAATTTTCCACAAAAACAAAATCTTATTTCTTCTAATAGTAAGATAAGTTATGAAATTCTTCACATAAAAAATTATAAGAAAAAAATTATTTCTGGCAGTACCAATATAATATTTACTGCTAATGTTCAATCTTACAATTTTGTGAAAACTTTTCGAGCAGCATCACATCCAATAAATTATATGTTGGGAGTAACTTTGACACAAACATTTTGGTGTCCCCTGTCACATCTTATGAAAATTAAAATGAATATGAACACTTATTATAAGTGGTGTTTAAATATGCTACATATAAGCCATTGTTAAGGGAAAATGATTATGGCAAAAATATTTTTTTCTATTATTAAGATAGATGCTGAAGCAAGTGCTTGGTTTGCCATTTTTATGAATCATAATTTGTAACCAACCAAAAGTATGCAACCAAATATTTTAGATTATAATAAGCAAATCATTAATAAATTGTCATTTTAAGGAGTAATAATACAGAGCTTAAAAGGAAAGTATTCGTCAGAACTGAAATCTACAGCACACATGATCTTACAAGCGGAAAATCAAAGCATGCTAAGTTTACCTGAGAGAATATGGCTTGTATGTATATTTTATAAGTAGATGTAAGCAATTGTGGATATGGATATCCAGAAATAATGCAGTATACACTGCGAGAAATTCTGACACACTCCTCGAAACACGGAGAATTTTAACTCTGACCGCCTTCAACAAATCTATATGCTACAAGACTTAACGAATCAATAACATTCTCAGAACCATGATGTAAGTAAAAGGTGATATGCTGCGCATGTCACCGACATATTGAACCTATAAACCAATAGTGTTTGTACCTTCGGCCAACCGCCAAAAACAAATTATATACTTCTTGTAAACATATAGTACACAACAAATATATTTAATAATATAAATATACAATATTATACTATGTGTGTGTATAACCACACTAGTTTCCCTCAAAAAGGTAAATTTGCCTCAAAATTGGATTTACATTCCTTAATAACATAAAAAAGTTTTCTGCTAAAACTAGATATGTTTAAAACCGTCTAATATAATGAATTTTATGTTAAAACGATCTGATATAAAGAACACATTTATAATGAAAAATTTAATTTACTCTAAAATTGAAGCAATGATGTTTTTCTCGTGGAATTATATCTATAATTCTTGTACTCTTTTAGTGTTTGTTTTTTCAATAGTATCAAGGCTTCTAAATTCTGATATTCATTTTGTTGTGGCAATATCAATTCCCATAAATCCTCCGACATTTGAAGTCCACGCCAAAGGGCTTCCTTTCTTGGCACGGCCACATTGATCACAACCTTAGCTCTTGTAAACACTGATAAAATTACTGTCTCCATTCATTTTCATTTTATGGCTTGTATGATATATAATGAGTTTGTAGAAATACTACAGGAAAAAACTGAAGTTTTTGGACACAAAAATTCCTTTGATAGGTCCCTCAAACACAAAAAGTGGATTTTTCTTTCTGATATGTATAGTAAAATATACTTATTTCCAATACCCTTTTATTCCCAGGTCCCTTATGTCCCCGTTGTTCCCCTTTTCCGTTCGCCCTGCTCCATTGGCTCATTTTGTTCCATTGTCCTATTTTGTCCTCCTGTTCCATTTTGTCCCCTTGTTCCGTGTGTCCCTTTGGCCCTTGTTCCCAGTTTCCCATTTTCTCACTTTCCCACTTGTCCCATTTTGTTCCTTGGGCCCCATTGAACCAAATTTGTCGTCTATTTGAAGGTGTTACAACTTTTAATTTTGTCACTATTCAATTTATGTCCGTCATTTCTTGTTCAATGCACATGTACATTGTTTTATAAAAATTTATTTCTAATCCCCAATTATTTTATTATTCTATTAGCTTTCTAAGCATATTCACCATATCTTTTTCATCTTGGACAAATAATTCCTGGTCGTGAGCAAATAGAAGGGAGTGAAAGAGGTCGTCTCCAATTTTTATACCTATGATTTTTTGTTCAGATGATTTATTGTTTTTTACATCGATGTATGTATATAATCTTCCCCCAATGCTATTTTTTTGCAATCTTACACCTGCTTTAACTTTCTGTCGAATCAGAATATATTTCTCTCTTGACTGGTGTTTTATCAATTAACCATTTCATATACTCTACCTTTTTCAGCTCTTGAATCATTTCTTCTAAATTCTCAAAAAACTTTTTTCTATTTTCATTTCTTTCCTCTTCTTCACGAGCTTCCTTAGCCGCTGTCAAAATACTTTCCTTCAAGTGTTAATACATTTGTGTGGGGGTGTCCTCCTTTTCCAAATTTAATTTGTTTCTCAGTCTATTTCGGTAGAGCATTTTCACACTACAAAGATTAAAGAGGTCTGTCTTGAAGATAGATTTCTTGTACATAGTGTAGAAGTGTTTTGTCTATTTTTGGAGCGGTTACCTTTATATTCATAAAACATACCTTTCCCCCTACCATGGAATGGTTACTGGCACAATCAGGCTGTCTATAAACCTGCACATAATTTAATAATGTTTTTCCTATTCTTCCTATTATCATTAAATCTATAATTGATTTACGTTGTCCTGTAGGCTCTTCCCATGTTGTAACAAACCTTAATCAGTGGCGGCAGGTGCCCAAGAGACTGGAGGTTGCACATCTATCAAATGACAGAAATGTAATTTCCAAAATTCATAAAACGAATAAATAATAAAATTGTAAGCAATTAATATTAATTAAACTTAAATTAAATAAAACATTACCTATATTGAAACATTACTTACATAATTTTGTGTCGTGTCAGTGTAACACCTCCCTCGCACGTGGTCTTGGCTTTGATTTCTACTAGGCACTTAAGTTCGACTTCAGCACATTGCAACAAGCATTATTCACTTTTCAGACGAATAAAATTGTTTTATTTGGAAAACTTTACTACTCTGGTATATACGACAATAATGAAAGATCTTCGACACACATTCGTATTCACAAGATCGCACGCAAACTGCTGGCCAGAAGCAGGCACACTGGCTTTCGCGAGACACTAAGGGACCTCCATCCAGAATGGCAACCTTTACACCAAGAACTCATCAAATGTACGTTTTGAACAAAGAAACCTAATATAAAATGAAAACAAATTCTCCAAATATCAAGAACAATACATTGAATATTGTCAACAACTGACTGAACTTCTGTACTTTCAATAAAGAGCGAAATTCATAACATTACATTGCAGCGAGTGAGACGAAGACAGAATATTGGGATTTCCCTGAGACTTCCCCGGTCGTTGAGCACCTACGATACTGCGGAATATGTGTCGTTTTGTGTCTTGCCTTAAAACACTATTAACACTAAACACTGTTAATATCTTCTCTTTATCTAACTCTGTTGGCATCTTCTGCTCACGTCTTTATTTTATAATCAACTTTTTTATTAATATTACCTTTAATATTTTCTTACTCGTAGGAATGAACATACAATGTGCTATATCTTACATTGTCGCATGCAGACGGGCTGTTTGCATAGATCAACGATTTCTGGAAGTACTGATAGTTTTAAAAATCGTTTCATTGATGGCAATTAAATATAAATTATCAGCCTCGTTTGCAAATAATAAACAAAATATGTATTCATAAATTAAACATTAACAATTCATAATGAGTTCATTATTTAACTATTGTTTTGATAATTATCCTTCTCGTACAATCAAATTCAATGTTCGTTGCTTATGTAAAATCTTCCTGGGCATTTGACTTCTCCGTTGAATCCCAGATGAAGAATGTCCAATGTCTTAGTCGTCGCGTAATGTATTATAACGTTTCTCGGTGGTGAATTAAAGCACACTCAGTATTTAACAAAAACTTTTATTTGTAAACAATTATACACTAAAATTACTTGATTTATTTACAGATATATTACACAGTCCTTGTGTTCATCACTTGATTATCTTCCTTCCACACGAAACCGTTCTCTTGATTATATACTTACACAGTTCACTTCTTCTGATTATTTATTTACACTGTTCACTTCTTCTACACTATCGCACAGTCCGATGCGCTGTCCACGATCCACTGCGCTGACCTCAATTCACTGCGCAAACCACAATTCACTGCGCAGACCAAGGTCCACTGCACTGCCGTTTACCGCGATGCATAATTCACAGCTCAGCTTTCACTGCAGACTTCAGACAGCTGACTGCTGTTCACCCACTGCACCACTGTTTACCGCAATGCACACTTCACAGCTCACCTTCCACTTCAGACAGACTACTGCATACTCATACTGGCGGACTGACTTCTAACTACTTCTACATCTTGACAGACTAGCGGCCGTCGGCAGTGGCGAATTTATACCTGGCTGGCGCTCGCCTCGAGCCATCGGTAACGTGCGCCACACCTCTACGCGACTCGCGAATAGCCGGAATCGTCCAGCTTGGGGGGGGGGAGGCGCCGGCATATGACGTAATCCGCGCGCAGCGAATGCCGGCGGGTGATGATTCGTTACAGTATATACTTTCGCCCTGATTATCGTGATGTTGCTCGATGTCAATTATTAACATAAAAATGTCGACCGCAATTTAGACAATATATTTCCGGTTCGTCTAATAACTATTAAATTTGTTACAATCACACAAAACTACCCTGTACTAAGCTTCGGAAAAGCTCCTCGGAACGATTTCCTGATATTAAAAAAAATGTCCAATGAAAAAAAATACGGCTTTTTCCCAATTCTAATAGCGTTTGCCGAAATAAGTCCATTTTGTAATTCACTTAACAATTAAATGACATTCACAATATTCAAATTCATACTATACAGTTCTGCAAATAATGATTATAATTTCATGCTAACGCAACGTACGAATTTCGATGTTGACGGCTCGAAGGCTAGCGATAAAAAAGAACGGACCCGCTTTCCTACACCTTACTAAGCCTCCCACTTACACTATGTGAAGAAAAGTGTACAGACACGTCCAAAACGTTATGGTGTGGTCGTGTTTTTCATGGAGGGGGCTTGTACTCCTTGTTTTGTGTAGCACTGTCACGACATAGGCCTACGTTGATGTTTTAAACACCTTCTTGCTTCCCATTGTTGAAGAGCAATTCGGGAATGGGTATTGCATCTTTCAACACGATCGTGCACCTGTTCATACTGCACGACCTGTGAATGAGTGGTTACACGACAATAACATCCCTGTAATGGACTGGCCTTCACAGAGTCATGACTTGAATCCTAATGAACACATTTGGGATATTTTGGAACGCCGATTTAGTGCCAGACCTTACCGAGCAACATCGATACCTCTCCTCAGTGTAGCACTCCGTAAAGAATGGGCTGTCATTCCCCAAGAAACTTTCCAGCACTTGATTGTAAGTATGCCTGCGAGAGTTGAATCTGTCATCAAGGTTAAGGGTGGGGCAACACCCTATTGAACTTCAGCATTACCGATGGAGGGCGCCACGAACTGATAAGTCATTTTCAGTCACATGTCAGGATACTTTTGATCACATAGTGTATATTTTCTCTGTAATACAACGGGCTTTGCTTCCATCTTCCGGTATGCATGCTGTGATTTTGGTACTCCATTCCATATGTGATAATAGTGTCCTAGTATTTCTTCTCCATGCCCTATCTTTTTTTTAATTTCTGATGATACTAAAATATCCCATTCAGTTTATCTATTTCTGTTACAACTTCTGTCTGTTTCAGTCTCAAACATAGCACATTTCATGTCCCAATGGAGATAGTTCTATTCCGTAGCCAAAGTCGTCTCTGGTTGACGTCCGTTTCCGATTGCAGCTCGAACGGGGCGACAGTGATGCATGTGTGGAACGTGTGAATAGAGGAGGTCGTACACAGCGAATAGCAGCTATAGGACCACTCAATGTGACCACAGTACGAGATGACCGCCATCTTTTCACATGGCCGTATCCGACAGAACGGCGTTGTCCACAGTGTTGGCTCCACTTGGGAACACTGCAACGGGTCTGCGTCGACGGTTCGACACCGTCTGCTGACGGCAGGACTGGTGACACACGTACCACTGCGTCGGATTCCGTTGCTCAGAAACCACCAACGCCTCGGACAGCAATGGTAACGTGAACATGTTCACTGGTGAGCTGAGAGGCACAATGTGGTGTTTGCTGAGTCTCGCTTCAATATACGGTAGTGAGATACGTGTTCGACGCTACCATGTGGATCGCAATCAACCAGCCTGCATCGTTTTATGCCATAGCGGACACTCGCTAAGGGTGATGGTTTGGGGCGCCATTGGCATATGCGATCTCGCCTCATATATAATCTGAACAGCAACCGCTGCATTAGGTAGGTTTTAGAGTCCGCTGCCCCTCCTGCAAGCAGCACTACATGCCATATTTCTGCATAATCTGTGGAATACATTTCTTTGTAATAGTAAGTCTCATTCTTGATGTTGCATTTTTCACACACACACACAAATATATTAATATATATATTATATATATATATATATATATATATATATATATATATATATATATATATTATATGGGTGTGTGTGTGTGTGTGTGTGTGTGTGCTGTGTGCGTGGCGCGCCGCTCGCTTTGATGTATAAAATTGTACGTTCTGGAACGCTTCCCAAATTAATTATTAATGTAATAGAAATAGTTATATATTTATAATATAATTTAATAATTATTTCTGAGATACCGGAACGCCGTTCCGTCGCGTTCTGCCAGAAATCAAGCCATGCTTATATATACAGGTCTTTAGCTTTACTCGCAACCATGTCTGGAATCGGCACGTCTTATTTAGGCAATTTGGCAACGTATGAAATTCCTTTACCATGAAATACCCTCCCTTGCACTGTTAGCGACCCACTGCCGCGTGCCCTCAGATTTCGAAGTGAGCGAATGTAGCTAATAGTAGTTGGCAGAAAGAGAAAGCACTTATTCCGTCCTTGTCAGTCTTCAACGCACAACAGCCGCTACACTGAAAAGAGTAAACGCTTGTCTCTTGTCAAATGGTGGTCACTTTGAACATTTACTCGACGGTCAGTTTTTTGTCATTTTAAGGAATTTATATTTTATTATTTTTATTAATTATTTTCCATAATTATTAATTTATTACTAATAACTACCAGGATCAATTATTTCCGAAATGTAAAGCATGTTTTTGCTCGGGAGGTGGCGGTGATGTTTCCAATACATGGCGAGATCCGGCGCCGACCTACTGTCGGCTAGCGGGGTTTTCACCAACCAGGTATCTCCCACCAGCGGGACACTGCCCCAGCCGGATCTCTAAGCTCGCGACCGGTCTCCTGACATGTGAGGTAGTGTAGTGCATGTTAATGTGAGTGTGTGACAGGTGGGGACAAGACAAGAAAGTGGAAGGTGAGATCGCGCGCGGTCCGTGGCCCATTTGTTAGGGTAATGTCCCGGAATTCGCTTGTTGATCGGAGAAACCACGGAAAACTACCGATTAGAGCAGCCGGTCGCTAGAATTATCCTCCAGTCAGCGATTGAATTCGACCTAACTAACAAGCTAGTGTCAAAAATCCTGCCACCGTCGGGACTCGAAGCTAGGATCTCCCGGTGAGAGGGACTGCAGTGTCATCAGTTGATGCCCTGAGTCATCTCTCCCGGTTCACCATTACATCATGCTTTCATTTCACTCTTGGCTGACGTCTTTTCTTCTATCTTGCTCGCGTCCAGTTAAAAACCTTTTTGGGCAGTCTTTCTAAATCCACGCTTGTTGATTTTGACCCATAACAATCTTCTACTTTCAATACCTTTTTATTTTTAATCGCCTTTTTGTAGCGTCGGTTTCTACATGATCAAGTACTGGGACTCTTAGCATCTCCAAAAATTGTTTTCAACACTATGAATTCCCTTTTGCAGAGCTTGGTAAAGTATCCACATTTCAGAGTCTTATATTACTGTGCTCTTTACCAAAGATATAACAGCTAGATTTTTGGTTTATGTAGTTCTAATAACCTTATTCCAAAGTAGTGGGTTTAATTTACTTATTATCTGTCTACCTTTTCCGATTTTTCATGAAATATTGGCTGGATCCTTATCCTCTTCATTCAAAATGACTCCTAAATACTTAAAATGTTTTACATTTTAAACTTAGAGCCCTCTAGGATTATATCTTCCCGTACATCACAAACTACCGAATAACGAGGCTTTTCCATGTCGATTTCAATACCAATTTTGCATATTCCTCTACACGTTTTCTTATCATGTGGGAAGGTTATTTACGTCAGCAAGAACAACTTGATCGTCAGCAAACTATAAATTTTATAGATATTACACAGCATTGTAGGCTTTCACGGCCGGAGTCAATATTCTTCATGTCTTCCGGGCTGATGGGCCGTGGTCCAATTGGCTCTGGGATGCCAAACGTTTCGCCCACGACTGAGGTGGGCATCTTCAGTGGCGAGGTCTCGGGCGAAGTGTCCGGGACGGTGGCTGATTGGCGACTGGCCCACCTAAGATGTTCCCTTCAATTTTCTCCTGAACCGTTGCAGATACTGAGATGCGGTTTTCACTAAAACTACTATATGTAAGGAGCACATATGGTCATGCATAATATTATTCTATTGCATTTTTTTATTGCAGATATTGACCCAACTTCGATTTTTTAAATGGAACCCAATAGATTTTTTTAGCTCATCATGATAAGCGAGATGACACGAGTTCATAAATATGCATATCGCCATATTTTACATAACAAAATTTTCGAGAAATTAAGAGTTTTATAGACGCACGCCGACTGCTGGTTTCCGTAATCTGAACGAGAAATTCCGGGTGATATGCGGCGAGGCCATTCCCTTCCGTTGCGTCGACACTGCGGTAAATGAAGTGATGCAATGTGCAAAGGAGCTCACGAAAACCCGCGATTTGCTCTTTAAGACCCTCTCAGACCTGGAATAATGGATTCGCCCATAGCCATATTCTGAGCAAATCTGTACGCCACAAAGTACTATTTTTTAATTAATTAAATACTACAAGATTTGAGAAAATATTTGAATTATTAACGGTAGAGAAAGCCAGGGAAGATTGGAGAGTGAACATGTTCTGAATTAATAAATGCGTGTGCTGTCAGAAACAAAACGTTTACTCTTTGAAAAACTGAAAACCTCAGCCGGTACAAAATTCTTGTAAATAAAAGTAAGAAAAATACTTTAAAATACAGAAACAAAATGTAAGTTAACAATTCTAGAAATAGCTTGATTCATAACATGTACTAAATATGTGCATCATCAACGGATGTACACATTTGAAGGCGCTTGTAAAGAGACCTACGAACAGAGTTGAGAGTTCCACGTGAAATGACATGACAAGATGCGTTATGCCAGCTTCTCCTCGTTCGTACACAGCTTCCCGGATATTTCTGCAGTATTTCACTGCGTTTACTAATTTCTTCTAAATTAGGAGAGTTCCCGTTCAGTTCTGTCTGCATTTCTTTTCTTCACCACCCTTTTATTCTACCTACCCTTCTTACGTCACTTCGAGGCATCTCCAGTTTTCCCACTATACTCAGCCGACGCAACGGAAGAGAATGGCCTCGCTGCATATCACCCGGAATTTCGCGTTCAGATTACGGAAACCACCAGTCGGCGTGCGTCTATAAAACTCTTAATTTCTCAAAAATTTTGATATTAACATATGGCGATATGCATATTTATGAACTCGTCTCTTCTCTCTTGTTATGATGAGCTTAAAAAATCTATAGAGTTCCATTTAAAAAATCGAAGTGGGGTCAATTTCTCTGCAATAAAAAATGTAATAGAATAATATTATGCATAACCATATGTGCCCCTTGCATACAGTAGTTTTAGTGAAAACCGCATCTCAGCATCTGCAACGGTTCAGGAGAAAATTGAGGGGAACATCTTAGGTGGGACACACGGTGTAATAGAATTCAACCTTTTGTTTACTTTTTCAATTGAATATATGGGTTTGTCACGGATTCACTCAATTTAATTTCTTTGTCGCAAACTTATATGTATTCTCCCAAACTCACATTCCTAGACATAACCTCCGGAAGATAATTAAACAATCAACTCGACAGATCTGAAAACGGATCGGCTGTGAACCGTCACCGTTGGAGGTAACACCCACGCTGAGCAGAACTCACTTGGGGATAACGACACCCGGTCACAAGAGTTGTTTGATGCCGGACGCGTCGCGAAATCTTGACGGCGTGTTTCGTTGCAAAATACACCAACAATCATAAAACTAATATTAAAAATTTTCACATCAATGATTATTATTCTTTCATTTACGGCATTCCAATTTTTAATCTCGTCTCTTTTAAGATCTCTGGACATTTCATTGGTGCTGTGATCACTTTATTGACCGAAAAATAAGTAAGTTGTCTGAAACTTTCATCTGTTACTACTTATGTGCTAAATCTTGGCGTTCCCCATCAATGGGGAAACACCACTTTCAATAACAATTTCATCCAATAGTTGAACCAAAACAATAAATTATTCATAATTTATTCTGAAAACCTAAATTCTACAAACTATAGTAATATGAATTCTCTACACAACGTAATTTTGGAGTTATATTGAGAGGGAAAAAATCACAAAATTACCCCCTGCTAACAGTACTGTAATATCGGTTGTCTTATATTAAACTGTTCGGAGTGTGTAATTGGTTCTGTAAATGTATATTAGTTTTCCTGTTCAAAGTTTTTAAGTTGTTTTGTTGGTTGTTTTTTTCTCCTTACCATATAGCACATAACCTTCTGATATGTGAGCAGAAAAGGGCAAATAAAGACCAGGAAGTATGTTTTTCTTAATAACTTTTTTTTGTCAGGAAAACAAATGTGAAGATAGGTTTCTTAATAACGCATTTCTTTGGAGGATTTCGGTGGGTATAATTAGCTTATCATCCATACAATAATTTGTGTTGTTTAGCAATGGAAAAAACTTCTTACATGATCCACAAAGATTTTTCATGACAGGAATTCATGTTTTTAAAGCAACTGAAAATATCTTTTCTTCAAATAGTCTTTTTTTGATATGCCAAATGCCAAGATACATTCTACCTTTATGCTAGCTCTATAACCCTTATTGTTTCCAATTATTTTACTGATGACATACAAAACTTCCTAATGTTACTTTCTATTACTATCATTGTGTTCAGAGTTTGTAAATAGTTCGGTAAATTTTTATTTTTTTCCTACTCCTGAAGTAAGTTAGTACCTTCAGTGGAGGGGGACACAAATTTCTTTAAATCTCAAAGCCTTGTGTTAAGTTGGTGATGTTTTTCACTTTATGGTCAAAAGAGATGGATTAATGATGAGTTAATGTGTTACCTGATGTGATGTTAAAACAGGTTGTTTAATGATATTTTACTCATATGCTATATAGAAACAATTCTTGATGAGCAGCCTTGTGCAATGTAGTCAGTACTTAATGCCCTGTATTATGTTGTTTTCTGATTCATTTGTGTTTCATGAAGTGGATTCAGGGTTAGCGAGTGAAAGTCTCACATTAATCAGGAGTGGTCCTTCCTGGGTGTTCATTAGATTTCCACATTGTCCCTTGGTTTAAAAAGGAAAAATAAATACCCTACCCAACTTTTTTTCATATATTTTTTTTTATTCTTCATTTAATATCACAGGACTAAAAAAGGAGATATGCCGATTGGAGAGAATATCTTCATTTATTGCTTGGAAGCAGAGCAAGCCGTTGCAGTAATTATTTTGTATTATTAAATTCAATTTGTGCTTGTATTGGTATTGTATGAACTGAAGATCTATATTGTAACTAAACTGTTAAATACATAGACATGTTAATTGCTTTGTATTAAGTTCAAAGCATGTTTTAATTAACAAGAAAGTGAATAAAATTCATAAATATTACTATACATTATATACTAACAGGATTTCATTTGCATTTACCTTGGGCCTTGACAAATTAATTCAGATTAAACGTTGAAAAGAAAAAACTACATTGCTTTCTATTATTTTCTCACTATTGCTTACGCAGTAGAGAGAAAAGATATGTTATGCTCCAGGGGAAATTGGCAAATAACTTACGCTATGTAAGCTTACTATTTACCATTTTCACATTTAGTTCCTTTTTAAATTTTAGAGTACTTATATTGTTGAATTCAAAAGACATTCACAGCTAATTCACAATGGTTTCATTATCTGAGCTTCCAAATAATAAAACAAATTGTACAGTAAAACCATTCTTGCTTAGAAAGAAGTCAGATTGCATTACAAAATATTTTTCTCCATCATCACCTATTAGCAAATGACAATTGGAATTTGGTAAATAAAACAAATAAACACAACAATGAAATTTAATATCACTTAATAACATTTATACATTGAATTACCATCTTCCTCAAGAGACTAATCTCAATGTTCAAGAAGATTGAATGTGATTTTTCAGAAATTCCAGCATACTTGCAGATTCTAGAAGAGCCTGAAAATACAAAAATATATTTATTTTAATACATGTTATAACCAGTGAAACTCAAGATTTCTATGGGAAGAAGTAACATTTATGGGTATGAGTGGAACTAAAGGAATCAACCCAGCATTCGTTTAATCAATTATGGGAAACTTGCTAAAAAAACAAAATTTAATTTTGTTTTGATAAATCAATGAACATTTAAATTATAAGAGTAAGTAATTTTTTATGTCGTGATCATATAGAAATTTGGTGAATAGGGACTCCACATTCGTTATTCTTATGACTACATTGTATAGACATATGAACCTTCTGTTCAGTATTAACTGATTGGGTGTTTAGGCAGTCCCTATGCGGCAAGTATTTGTAACAAATTAAGATGTTGAGCGCTGCGCCCTGATGGGGGAGCGTTGCCCAAAAGATGCCTTTTTTGTGCGGCCCGCCTGCGCTCGCAGCGGTTGAACAAATTGCGCAATCCGGCGACAAGCTACAACGCTCCGGTAGACGACTCGTCAGTAGGTCGTACAATGTCGTTTTCAAAACATGGGTATAGTATTTTTCAGGCATCGATATTGTATAATAGTTTAGCTGAAGATTTTTAACATCAATGGGTTGTGCTCGTGCTAGTCTTCGATGTTTAGTTTGTGGATGAAAAATTCCCCTTATCACAATTTTGTAAAAGTTAAAACATGAAAAACATGAAACCAATGGTACCACTGTCAGTTTGTATGATCGAACCGAACGAACGCTGTTTATACTAGCTACATCGAGCAGTTTCTAGCATATCTTCCCCGAGGATGACCCCGATGCCCAGGTATTTCCCACGTATTTCCGGGTATTTTGCACTTGGAGAGGCGGTCCCAGTGGGCTAGGGCCTCCCCACTTCTTCCCGTATCCTTCTTCGGCGAACTGAGGACTGACCCATTTAAGAAGAGCCTAGCCGCTCAGGTTTTGAGGCTTTCCTTTGTCCATTGGTATTAAGTGAACCTCACTTAAAGACCACTTTTATTAAACGAACGTCCCTCTCAAGGAGCGATTTTTCTTGGAAAGGACGCTGAAACCCACATGTCGCATGCAAATTGTACATTCTTCCCGAGACCACCCCTTTACCAACCACCGACCGGCCCCTTAGTAGCAATTGTTTCATTTACCCCTTTTAATAATCTAATTTCAGGGATCTTGTAAGAATACAGTACAGCAAATTTTCAGTAATTGAAATGAAAATTGGCTCGTTGCAATCTCGTAACATGTTCTCTCCCTCAGCTTCATTTTAAAGGAAATAAAACGGAGGGATTCAGGAAACAAGTAAAAATAACCGTGATGTCAGTTATATCACGGCTGCTCCCTCCATTTGTTTATCATTTAAATGAGATGGCGGACATGAAAGTGACCTAACATTTAATTCTTTGAATTAGCAGGGACTCCTTAACTTACCTCTCTACAAGAACATCTGGTTCGGTAGAAAATAAATTTCGAAGTGAGGATTATCGACTTGCCCCGTAACAAGTGAGGGTTTGGGTTGCGTCCGAAATCTGAGTCCAGCATTCCTCCAAAACCCATCGCTTCAAGTGTTTAATTTTCATTTATTGCTTACATTTATTATTATTTAATTGCTAATAGTTAATAACGTTTTACGCTGCGCTGTGCAAAAATTCTAATACATGAATGACTTTCTCGCAAATATGGGTTTGTTCTATGCTCCGGTTTGGACATGGTTGTCAAGTATCATATTGGTAAAAAAGCGGAAGGAAGACTTCGGGTCAAGCTTTTTTTGCATTAAAATCAAGAATTTTATTCATTTAAATAGTTTTAAGTAAAACAGAGCTCAATAAATGAAGTTAAAACGTAATAATCACTTAAATACCGAATTACATTAATTCATGATGTTAGAAAACCACGCAACGAAACTCGGGTGTCCATTTTCTCCCAGTACTCCAATCATCTATTATTTCACATCAAAATAGTATCTATAAACAAGAGTTCACTACTTGCCTAATACCCGTAACATTACCCAATCAGAGCTTGGAGAAAACGCACTAATTCCTGTAGATTTAAACTCAAAACACACAAAATGGGAATGTATAACCCAGAACAGTTGCAGTGGCATTCTCCTACAATATTTGGCCAACAAAAATAACCACTGTCCCATCACATCCACTTCTGTCCTCAGCTCTTCAAGTAATCAGGTTCACACTCTAAACATCTCTCTGCAGGAAATGCTCCAAGGCTGTCTTTTTTTCTATTTGTTTTGCATTCGACACTGTCCATCATCCACTCCTTCAAAAAGTCATATTTCAGAGTTCTTCTCCTTCCTTAGAAGCTATAAACTATCAGACAAACCGCTCCTTCTCAGAACGATACGACTCCTATATTCCTCATCCTATTCTTTCTGGCGTACCGCAAGGACCTCTTCTCCCTTTTCATGAATGACTCCCCGTCAACTGAAGGTGTGTCTGAATTCATCATCGAAGATATTTCTTATACAGCAAAAGAAAGCTGAATTTAGTTTTCTTTCTTTGCAAACTCCAAAGAGCTGCTAATCAACAATGACTGGAGTAAAGAAAATATACTAATTCTGTATCCTAGAAAGTCAAATGAATAGGTCATGAGCAAAAAGACACATCCATTTTCTCAGAAAACTGATTTCATTAAAAAGTTAATTTCTCGAAAGGACACATCAATTGAATGAAAAATAGTCGATCAAATTCAACTCGAACCATGCTATTACTCAGACTGAAATGTACATTGAGTATAAAAAGGCTTCATATCCAGGAAATGGGACCCTTTTTGTTCACACAACATATAACTTCACTCTTCCCCCCCCCTTATACCTTGCTTTTCAGCAGGTATTGATTACTGCCAACTGACTATAGTCAATTGATATAAATAGCAGACAAAACAAGATATCAAAAGAAATATTTCCTAGTTTGTTTTCTAAATTGTTACTTAGTCGTTTCGTCACTGCTCACACGTCGTGGTGGACGGACGCGTTTGGGGGTCACTCTTGAGGATTATGTTTTGGAGAAAATGGCGTGCGGTCTGGGGCGGCGGGTGGCTGCTGGGCGACGAGACAGCCGTGCTCTATCTGCATTTCTCCGGCACGCACGACCTGTCAGTGAACTTTCACTTACTGGGTGTGCTGGCGATTCTTCTAATCTTTGATGGGGTTGAGGGGTAACGGAGTCACCAGCAGCAGAGACAGGGGAGGAGCACAAAGAAATCATAATTCGAAAGAACAAATGGAGGGTAAAGAATGCACTGCAATGTTCGCTATGCACTTCCGGATACCCTTTTAAATCGCAACAAGCAAAGAAGCTTGAAGCTAAAGACAGCTGGGTTTGAAAAATGTACTTAGAGACCGGCTTGAAAGCAAAATTGGAGGCCAAGGAAAAAGTCATCACTTACGGAAAATATGTGGCGGAAGAGCAACTGAATGTTCTGCAGGAAATTAATGCGAGGTTTAATCGTGAGAGCAGAAGAAATGCTACGTTATCGTAACAGTGACAAGGCCTCAGTTATTCTGACAAGGTAATTGTGATTGCAGATTCGATGTTGCAACGAGTGAGGATGTGTGACGAAGAAAGTTGCCAATGTTTCCTTCTATCCAGGACGCAACACCTCGCAGATGACGAACGTTGCAAAACGTTCAGATTCTGTCCAGAGAGTCAAAGCTGTGCTAGTGCATGTGGACACTAAAAATCCAAAGAAACAGCTTCTCGGCAACACAAAGCTTGGGTTGACCTAGGTTGCGAACTGAAGAATAAATGCAAAAATGCGAGTTATAATCAGTAGCGTTATTAGTCAAACGGCACGCAGAATGTCAAAACCTGTAACATGAATAGGGTAATGTTATGGACGTGAGAGAAAATTGAAGACTTTTTCGTAGACTCTAACCACTGGCTTAGTAGGGCAGATTATTCCCTGACGGTCCTCATTTAAATCCTCGAGGTGGCTGAAAACGTGGTACACTACATGAGTGTCATTGAAAATCCCTGTTGTCTTTTACGTGTTAGAAATGCCATCAATGCTGCGTCATCATGGACTATTGAAGATTACGAAATTATAAGCGTAGAAACAAAAGGAATGATAACGCGCCGTTTTTGGGAAAATCGTAGGAATGTACCGTTCTCCACGCGATGGCCGCTTCAGAATGTTGTAGAAAGAGATAGAGGTCTTAACAAAAGAGGTAAGCAATTACTAATGACTGGCGATCTAAATTTGCCAAGTGTTATCTGGGACGGTAAAGTCGGGGCCGAAGGAAACTCACGGTGCTTAATCAATAAGCATCGTTTGGTGCTCACAAGCAATGGATTTGGCCAGGTGATGATCTTCTAGACGTTTGTTGTAACATCGGAAGAAATGGCTCTCTTGCGAAGTAATTCTCGATATTAGCGGCCACAAAAAGCTTTTGTTATACATGGCGTTCAGAAATCCAAAGCAGAAGACGGCGAGAGAACACACTTCATTATCACAAGGCAGATACAAAATGATTACACTGTTTCGTACGTGAATATTTCGGCACTTGGGCTAAAAATTGTTGCTCAGTAAATGAAATTTTGAATAATTTCAAGCAACTATTTGAAGGTCAAACTAGATTCGTACCATTCAAGTTTCTCTCAGAAAATCCTGATCCGGAGTATTAAAATATCAGCATTAAGCGTTGGAAAGCCCGTGTACGGAGGGCCTACAGTGAGCGTAATTTAAGTACACTACAAAATCGAAATTATTGCAGTTTTAAAGGCACTACGGAGAGAAGTAAAACGCGCAGGGCAAGTTCATGCCATCAATTCTGACAAGAGAAACAGCTGGGGTAGATTTAGACACACACACACACACACATTATATAATGTGTGTGTGTGAGTGAGAGAGAGAAAGGGAAACAAAAGTCCGCAATCATAAACAACGAAATTTTGATTTTAGATGACGATAAAAAGACTAACGTTTTTAAACGATATTTCTCTTCCGTGTTCACTGAAAATGACTGTTTCCGGGATATTTCAACTAGCAATGAG